TAAAAATGCAATTGCAAATAATGAAAAAATTGTGGTGGAGCAGAGGGGATTGGAGCAGCTATTTCAAGAGAAGGAAAATGAAGAAAGAGAAATAGTGTTGACTATAATATCGTTGCTATTAGAAAAACAAATGGATCAATTAAAGAAATTTAACTTAATCAATATTTCACTAGGTAGTTACTATAATGAAACCAAGCCAAGTAAAGATGTATTACGAATTTTAGCATCACCGCCCTTTTCATATCCATTGTCACCAGAGTCTTTCGAAAGGGCTATTATAAGTGGTAGTTTTGCAGTATTTAAAGAATTTATACAGTTAGCACATGAAACCAACACGGTCATTTTAAATAACCATATTAGAAAATATTCCATCGATTTAGTATTTTACACGAAAAATAAAGATAAATTAAAAAGAAAAAGAGTTCATTATATAAATGATTTAATATTGGAGTTTATTCTAAATCAACCAGATTATTTCAATATTGTTCAACAAGAAGAGGTAACCAAAGATTATGAACATGTTAGGAAAAAGACCAAGTTGCAAGAAAGAAACTGTTTAAATTATTATATTATAAATAACAACTTGTTTTATTTTGATGATAAAGATATTTCAGAAATTTTTTCAATTAAATCAAAAGAATTGCAAATTAGGTTATTAGAATTAAATTATTTCAATACAATCAATAAAAATCATTTAAGAGAATTAAGGGTCGAAAGTTCAAAATTTAATGAATTAATAGAAAAGGTTAAAAATTTTTTAATTTTTTTCAAAAATAATAATAACAATAGCAATAATAATAATAATAATAATAATAATAATAATAATAATAATAATTATAATCAGTTAAAAGAATTATACAGGTTATATTCAAAATATTCAATTGTAATTTTCAATCAATTTTTAAAAAAATATAATGAAATAGATATCGAATTAATAGATCAAAATAAAGATTATTTAAATATTGTTTTAGAAAAAATATTTAAAGGTTTTTCAATCAATTATCTGAAATCTCTACTGTCAATATCCAGTAAAAATCAAATGAAGTACCATGAAAAAATCAATAGTTATAATGATTGCATTTTTTATCAAGAGAGTAAAAGCAAATTAATATCAAATAATACGTGGCTTTTTCAATTACCCAGTATTAACAGCAAATCATTTTTAAAGAAATTTAAAGTGGGAAAGGTAAAACAATTCATCAAATACTACACATCACTAGAGTCTAAAAACGTCATAAACAAGTCCTTTGATGATTCAATAATATATAATTTATTTTTAAATTTTAAAGAAGAGGAGTATGGCCAATTTTGGGAATTAATTTCAAGTAATTGCAAAAGATTCAATAACACATACCCAGAAACTTGGAATTATTTATTAGATTTCAGTAAGAACAACACCTCATTTATAAACCATGGTTACATAACAATAAAAAATAAGGAGGCAGTGGATTGGTTATATAATAGCTTGGACTATTCAGTTGTAAACAGTTATTTTACCGAGCACCTGCAGTACTTTGAAAAAAACAATTTGTTAAATAAGGGTAAATCAATGATATATCTTTTCAAATTTTCAAATTTAGAAATATTAAACTATGCTATGCAAGTGTTTGAACAAAGCCCAGAAATGAAGTTTTCAGATTTATTGGACAATGATATACAGTTGGTTAATCATTTATATGAAAAGATATACAGAAAGGCTCTAGGTGAGTGTGATATCAATACAATGAAAGTTATATACAACAAATACCCAGCATTTCAAATAAAATTAATAGAGGAGTATAGTTGCAATGGCTTTAATAAAGATAGAAAAACAAAACAGTTCATCGAAAATTTAAAAACAAAGGAAAATCGAATACAGCTAATAGAATATTTAAACTCGATTCACTTTAGCACATTTTCAATAAATTTTTTTAAATTGTTTATAGAAGGCATTTCTGCATGGTACCTTTGTAATAATGATAGCATAGACTTTACAAATCACTTCAATAACTGCCCCAGTGACAGCTTAGAAGAATTATTTTTTGAAAAAATGTTTAGTGGCCTTAATGTAATAAAGTTTTTGGTTTCAGCAGATATAAATCCCATCAAGTGTTTCCCACAAGAAGAATTTTTACACACAATAAAGCAATATTATAAACCTCAGAATGACTTTTATATATTTCAAGATTTTAAAACTTTAAATGATGGGTCATTACCAGAAATAATAGAGAATTATGTAGATTTATTCAAAGGCCATTCAGAGAACTATCGCTATGTAATCAATTTATTGTATAGTTTTTTAATACAATCAAATATAGGTATTGAAAAGATAAAATATATATATAATCTAATCAATATTCACTACCCAACACTTTTAGATCACACCTCATTCCACTCATTGTTTTACTTATGCAAAACACCAATTATCAAAAAATATATATTAGATATCTCTCATACATTTAATCAATGCAGTTTTTTTGAAAATAAGGTTTCACAAAACCCTCTTTTAAATTTCGCCCAATATTTAGATCCACAAAAATTTACAATTCAGTTTTTATATGGAGACAAAAATAATGAAAATGGGTTATCATTCGAACAAATGATAGAAGAAGTAATTCAAGTAATAATAATAGCACCTTTAAAAAAAGCATTCAGTTCAATTAGTGCAGAAGATGATCATAAAGTTTTCTTTTATTCACTATCTTTAAATACCAACTTAATTTATTTTTTAGAAATTAGAAGGGTAGATTTATTTTATAAACATATTCAATTTATAGTAAGCCTTTTTCATACATACATACCAATCAATCACTTACTAAAAGAAATAACAGATGATTCATTCGAGCCGGAAGATACAGACTATCAGATTAGACCGTTGATGCAAGGTATAGATTATAAAGCTCTACCCGATCCAAATGATTTAGAAAACCAAGCTAAATTCAATAGCAGAGAGCCATTATATTGTTTTTATTTTAATCAACAAATAATCCAAACTATAAAAATTTCGAGAATACTTGATAAGAAAAAATATAAAAATAAATTATAAATTTTATATTTAACTAAAAAAAATTTATTTAATTATTAGACTATTTTTTTAATTTATTTATTGAGGTAAAATATTGATCCATTATTGTCGACAATGCCACCTTTATAGGTTTTTTTTAAATCTAACCATTTATTTAATTTGAATTCAATTTTATAAGTAAAATATTGTATAATATGTATGTTTATTTTTTTTTTTACATATAAAATAAAACAATTATAGAAACTTTAAAGAATGTTAGTGAAGTTTTAAATTAATTTCAAACTTTTATTGAAAAAACTTTATAAAAAGAATTTATCTTTATTTTTATTTTGATTGATTAAAAAAATTTTAAATAAAAATAAAATAAAGGCAGCAGCTCTTAATGAAATCTGGGTGGTCATAGAGAAAACTATCAATTGAACAAACATAACGGATTTACTGATATTAGAGCTTGTGTAAAGTTGTTTAAATTTTTTGGATGCTGCCGGATAGGAACCACTAAATCTTTTCTTCTAATGAACCACTGAATCTTTTCTTCATCTAAAACCATTCGATGATACCATAGTTACTTGGCCAGAACAATGTCTGATATTCATCAAATAGTTGATTAGAAAGAAAAATTCATCGGTGTTGATTTAATTGAGAGGTATTTTGTATGCTGATTGGGTCTTTACCTCCGTGGTTTTCGAACTCATATGATAAATTCTTTAAAGTCTATTTCTTTTTTTATTTCTAGGGAATATAATCTATTATTTATATTATCTATTATATTATCTATTATATTATTCTATTGATATCTATTAAAAGAATTATAATTATAATTTTTTATAATTATAATTCCTATCTATATTATTTTTTTTTTTATTATTTTTTTTTTTTATTTTTTTTTTTCTGCAAGTGTCGCTGGAATAGTTAATAAATCCGCATATAATACAACGGAATTCTATTAAAAAAAATTAGTATGGGTTATAAAACAAAAATTAAAAAGTATCTTTTAAAGTAAATAAACTTACTATTTGGGGCGACTTCACTTGGCATTTTTGCTACACAGTTTCCACAATTTTCGAAATAAAGTAAATTTGGGTCGGAAACTAAATAATAATACATTTTTTTTAACCTCCATTTTATAATAATAATATAAATGAATGGTGGTTGTTGTTGTTGTTGTTGTTGTTGTTGTTGTTGTTGTTTTTTGGTTGGTTGTTTTTGAGTTTGTTGTGGGGTTTGTTGTGGGGTTTGTTGTTGTGGGGTTTGTTGAGGGGTTTGTTGTTGTTGTTGAATTGGTTGTTGTTGTTGGGTTTGTTGTTGTGGGGTTGGTTTTTGTGGTGGTGGTTGTGTTGGTAGTTGGTGTTGGTCCTCTTGGTCTCTATTGTTGGCATCTAAAAAAAAATGTTTAGACACTGTATTACTACATATATAATATTTAAATAATGAAACTATTTAATACCTACTTTTTCTAAAACTTTCATATTGCTCTAAAAGTTTTTTTGTATGCTCGTAATTGGTTTCTTTCTTTCTTTCTTCAAATAATTTATCGAGACCCATATATAAATTATTTAATTTTTTTTCATTATATTTAATTATTTTTTCAAATAATAATCTATATAAATTTGCTAAGATTGAGAATCTAAAATAATAATTTAAATGTTAATATCAATAATAAACAAAAATAAATATTTATTAAAAATGAAAAACTTACATTATTGAAAATAATAAAATAAATGAAAAACACTTTGACTTTTCATACAAAGTGCTGGATGAAAGAATTTCATTATATAAAATAATGGCTAAAATGAATTCGATTATGACAAAAAAGAAAAAGATTTTCTTGTAAATGTTATAATGGAATGATTTGGTACTATTTAATTTGGTCTCCAATTTAGCAATATTGGATTCCATAGCCATTACTTTTTTTTCAAAAAGGGTGCTCTGAATATAAATAAAACAATAATTAATATTAATTTTGTTTATAATGTATGTTATATGAGATACTTACTCTTTTTGAAAAGATATTACCCATGGTTGTAAAATAATAAGGGTAAAATATGTATAAATAAATTAAATATAAAATAAATAAATAAATAATATGATTATTTGAATTTTAAAAAAAAAAGAGGTTGAAAAATTAAGCTGAGCTGATTACAAATTACTTTGATTGATAGCTTGAATTTAAAAAAAAAATGATTTGGAAAAAAAAAATTAGTTTAAATAGAGGAATAAAATTTATTTTTTCAAAATAATAAAAAAAATAATTTAATTAAAAATAATAAAAATTATAATAATTTCCTTTTGTAAATATAATAGATTAGATTCAAACTCGGTATTCCCTTTTTTGTGCATTCTATTAAATTTTTAATCTGTAGCTATCATAAAAGTAGTGATCATCAATTTATTTTTTAAACACATCATCCAAATAAAAAAATAATTAAAAAATATTAAGAAAAATTAAAAAAAATTAAATTATAACTCCACAACACACTTTTTTATTATTATTATAAATAGTGGCTGATATGTTTGGGAAATGAATTAATAAATTTTTATTTTTTTTAATTTTGTAAACCATTGCAATCTGAATCATTCAAAAAAATATGATAATGCCAACTGTTTAATTTAAACATAAAAAATTAATAGTATCAATATGAAAAAAAAAAAAATTAAAAATTTTTAAAAAAAAAATTAAATTTTTTTATTTATTTATTTATTTATTTATTTATTTATTTATTTGATTACTTTTTTTTTTTTAAAAAACTTTAAAGTCATGTTGAGAAATTTCTTTTTGATTTTTTTTTATAATTTAATTTTTATTTATTTTAATTTTAATTTTTATTTTTATTTTTATTGAATAATTATTCACATCCATTAAAATCAGACATCTTAAATACTGTCAATCTATTACCCAATAGAACTTAGTTGTCATTATACACACCACTACCCGACTCTTTATCTTGAAACAGAAATTTAAAAATACCATCAATAAAAATAAAATAAACTTTATACAATAAAAAAAGTAAATAAATACTATAAAATTTTTCTTTATTGTAACCTCTGATTTCTTTTGTAACTCTTATTACTATCTATTCTAATTCTTGCTATTATGGGAAACTATCGATGCTTTAGATTACCCTAAATACCATTCTTTAATCTTTAACTCTTAGCACAGCATTTGATATTAATATACCGCAGAAAATACTTATAAAACTACCATCCCTAAGCTGAGTGGCACTAATCTCGATTATTTCATTTGTTACATCTGATTTAAACATCGTCTTCCTGTACCCTTGTCTAACTACACCTAAATACACTTCTGCCCGACAATTGGCCAATACCTTAACTACAATTGATTGCTTCCGCAAGTAATTTCCATCAATTTAGAATAAAAGCAATAACCTCCACTCCTTGAGTTTTCTTTATTCAATTTGAACCAAACCAATACTTGTTTATTTTCGAACGCTCTGTAATCCTTAAGATCACAAGCTCCATTGCAACACCTTAATATAATGGACTTCCTAGCTCCTTTTTGAATTTATATGATCCTACTGTAATGTATTTGATAAACTGAAAAGGCTGATCAAACAATTGATATTAATTCATAAATAAAATAACCTCCATAGCTTTGAATAATTTAATTTTTTTATACTATTATTATAACCACTATAGCTTCTAGAGGTCTTTGTTAAAAAGAGTATAAAAAAAAGTGTAATGTAGATGGAGTTTCTTTGGTTATAAATAAATAATAATTCTATCTGAAGCCCTAGATTCGGTAAACATATATAGTTTTTAAATTAATAAAAAAAAATTTATCTAAAAATTAATTTATATAAATAATTAATAAAACAACAAACTGGTTATGTATTTTACAAAATAAAAATTTATTATTATAAAAAAATAAAAATTTTGGTTTTTATTAGTTTTGCGAGAAAATTTTTTTTATGATTTTTTTTTTTTTTATTTTCCAAAATTTTTAATTTTTTTTTTTTCACAAATTTTATAAAATTAAAAATTAATTTTTACATTTTTTGGATTACCACTAGTTAGTGTATATTATCAAATCGTTTTAAATAATCATATTGGTGGTACGGCATGATGCACACAAAGAGTTACATACTCTGTCTGAAATTTCTTTTTTTTTTAAATGAGTTTTATAAGGAATTTAGGTTAGTTTCCACTGGATATTTAAAAAAAATTGAGAAATTTATTCTCTAAATAAAATGATAAATTTAATAAAATTTATTATAATAAAAATAAATTTTATTAAGTTAAAATTCTCAATATATTTTTTTCATTTTTTTTATTTTTTTTATTTATTTTATTATTTTTTTTTTTATAAATTGTTTATTATTTTTTATTTTTTTATTTTAAAATTCCTAATTTTATGTTATAATTTTTAATTTTTAATTTTATTATCAACTTTGCTCTTTTTAAATACACACATTATATATAGTTAATTATTTGTTTATATAATAAATATGGCACAAAAAGAACATAAATTTAAATGGGAAAAAGAGTTTGAGGAATGTATGAAAAAACCACCGAAACCATGTATCAAATATTTCAAAACATCTCAAATCAGAGATCATTATTTTTTTAAAGATTTGTGTGAAGAGAATGAAATGGATTCCCAGGAATGTCACATTGC